CCCCTGACCCCACATTCACTATATCCATCTCCCCGGACCCCCGCATTCACTATATCCGCTCTCCCCGGACTCGGCATTCACTATATCCGCTCTCCCCGGACCCCGCATTCACTATATCCGCTCTCCCGGGACCCCTCATTGACTATATCCGCTCTCCCCGGACCCCGGATGTTGTCATGTTACAATGTATTTTTTGGGATTGGATGTGATGGACACAAAGTGGCACATAATTGTGAAAGTGGAAGGAAAACGAGAAATTGTTTTTTGAACATTTGTGACCAATAAATCTGTGAAAAGTGTGGTGGCATTTGTATTCAGCTCCATTTACTCTGATACCCCTAACTAAAATCTAGTGGAACCAATTGCCTTCAGAATTCACTTAATTAATAAACAGAGTCCCCCTGTGTGTCATGTGATCTCAGTATAAATCCAGCTGTTCTGTGAAGCCCTCAGAGGTTTGTTAGAGAACATTAGTGAACAAACAGCATCACGAAGGCCAAGGAACACACCAGACAGGTCAGGGGATAAAGTTGTGGAGAAGTTATTAAAAAATTCCCAAACTTTGAGCATCTCACCGAGCACTGTTCAATCCATCATCTGAAAATGGAAGGAGTACGGCACAACTGCCAACCTACCAAGACATGGCCGTCCACCTAAACTGACGGCAGGGCAAGGAGAGCGTTCATCAGAGAAGCAGCCAAGAGGCCCATGGGAACTCCGGAGGAGCTGCAGAGATCACAGCTCAGGGGGGAGAATCTGTCCTCAGGACAACTATTAGTCGTGCACTCCACAAATCTGGACTTTAATGGAAGAAAGCCATCGTTGAAAGAAAGCCCTTTACTCTGATACCCCTAACTAGAATCTAGTGGAACCGATTGCCTTCAGAAGTCCCCTATTAGTACATAGAGTCCCCCTGTGTGTCATGTGATCTCAGTATAATAAAGCTGTTCTGTGAAGCCCTCAGAGAGGTTTGTTGGAGAACATTAGTGAAGGAAACAGCATCATGAAGGCCAAGGAACACACCAGACAGGTCAGGGATAAAGTTGTGGAGAAGTTTAAAGCAGGGGTTAGGTTTTCCTTCCACTTCACAATGATGTGCCACTCTGTGTCGGTCTATCACATAAAATCCCAATAAAATGGATTGACGTTTTGGTTGTAACATGACAAAAATGTGAAAAAGTCAAGGAAGAGGAAGACTTCTTCAAGGCGCCGTATCTCTGGTTTCCTTCAATTCAACTTTTAAACCTTAGAATCAGGTCAGATCGGCTCATTCTGATTGGCTGATGGGGTCGCTGTAGCTTTGAAACACTTTTTTTGCCTCATTGGGAGAGCGGGGGATGGTTGGTGTCGCTGATAAAGACACCGATGTGTGTTTTCCTTCACAGTTTGGTGGAACTCTTCTTACCCAAAAATGTGACCTTCAACACCAAGATCTACGTGGATCGCGCACTGCAACTCATGGGCTTCGGGAATATGTTCGATGGCGAGAGCGCCGACTTCTCCGGGATCTCAAAGAAAGAGAAGTTCAGCGTTTCCTCAGTGAGTATCTTCCTTTTATATTTAATAGGTGGATGAAGTAAGGTAATCCTATAACAGGAGCCATCCCTATAGAGCGGGGGGGGGGGGGGGGGGGGGGGGACTCCAGACTTGTCATTCAAAGGGCCAGTTTACTGGACTTCAGGCTTCAGGGGGGGCCGGATTGTGGTTAGTGGGAGGAATAGTGCCCCATCATTGGTGTCAGAGGTAGGAATAGTGCCCCATCATTGGTGTTAGTGGCAGGAATAGTGCCCCATCATTGGTGTCAGTGGGAGGAATAGTGCCCCATCATTGGTATCAGTGGGAGGAATAGTGCCCCATCATTGGTGTCAGTGGCAGGAATAGTGCCCCATCATTGGTGTCAGTGGGAGGAATAGTGTCTCATCATTGGTGTCAGTGGGAGGAATAGTGCCCCATCATTGCTATCAGTGGGAGGAATAACGCCCCATCATTGGTGTCAGAGGGAAAAATAGTGCCCCATCATTGGTGTCAGAGGGATGAATAGTGCCCCATCATTGGTGTCAGAGGGAGGAATAGTGCCCCATCATTGGTGTCAGATAGAGGAATAGTGCCCCATCATTGGTGTCAGAGGGAGGAATAGTGCCCCATCATTGGTGCCAGTGGCAGGAATAGTGCCCCATCATTGGTGTCAGTGGGAGGAATAGTGCCCCATCATTGGTGTCAGTGGGAGGAATAGTGCCCCATCATTGGTGTCAGTGGGAGGAATAGTGATACCATCATTGGTATCAGTGGGAGGAATAACGCCCCATTGTTGGTGTCAGAGGGAGGAATAGTGCCCCATCATTGTGTTAGTGGGAGGAATAGTGCCCCATCATTGGTGTCGGAAAGAGGAATAGTGCCCCATCATTGGTATCAGTGGCAGGAATAGTGCCCCGTCATTGGTGTCAGTGAGAGGAATAGAGTCCCATCTTTGGTATCAGTGGGGGGAATAGTGCCCCATCATTGGTGTCAGTGAGAGGAATAGAGTCCCATCTTTGGTATCAGTGGGGGGAATAGTGCCCCATCATTGGTGTCAGTGGGAGGAATAGTGCCCCATCATTGGTGTCAGTGGGAGCAATAGTGCCCCATCATTGGTATCAGTGGGAGGAATAGTGCCCCATCATTGGTGTCAATGGGAGGAATAGTGCCTCTTCATTGGTGTTAGTGGGAGGAAAAATGCCCCATCATTGGTGTCAGTGGGGGGAATAGTGCCCCATCATTGGTATCAGTGGGAGAAATATTGCACCATTATTGGTGTCAGAGGGAGGAATAATACCCCATCATTAGTGTCAGTGGGAGGAATAGTGCCCCCATCATTGGTATCAGTGGGAGGAATAGTGCCCCATCATTGGTGTCAGTTGGAAGAATAGTGTCCCATCATTGGTGTCAGTGGGAGGAATAGTGCCCCATCATTGGTGTCAGTGGGAGGAATAACGCCCCATTGTTGGTATCAGAGGGAGGAATAGTGCCCCATCATTGGTGTCAGAGGGAGGAATAGTGCCCCATCATTGGTGTCAGAGGGAGGAATAGTGCCCCATCATTGGTGTCAGAGGGAGGAATAGTGCCCCATCATTGGTGTCAGAGGGAGGAATAGTGCCCCATCATTGGTGTCAGAGGGAGGAATAGTGATACCATCATTGGTATCAGTGGGAGGAATAACGCCCCATTGTTGGTGTCAGAGGGAGGAATAGTGCCCCATCATTGGTGTCAGTGGGAGGAATAGTGCCCCATCATTGGTGTTAGTGGGAGAATAGTGCCCCATCATTGGTGTCAGTGGGAGGAATAGTGCCCCGTCATTGGTGTCAGTGAGAGAAATAGTGCCCCGTCATTGGTGTCAGAGGGAGGAATAGTGCCCCATCATTGGTATCAGTGGCAGGAATAGTGCCCCGTCATTGGTGTCAGTGAGAGGAATAGTGTCCCATCTTTGGTATCAGTGGGGGGAATAGTGCCCCATCATTGGTGTCAGTGGGAGGAATAGTGCCCCATCATTGGTGTCAGTGGGAGGAATAGTGCCCCATCATTGGTATCAGTGGAGGAATAGTGCCCCATCATTGGTGTCAGTGGGAGCAATAGTGCCCCATCATTGGTATCAGTGGGAGGAATAGTGCCCCATCATTGGTGTCAATGGGAGGAATAGTGCCTCTTCATTGGTGTTAGTGGGAGGAAAAATGCCCCATCATTGGTGTCAGTGGGGGGAATAGTGCCCCATCATTGGTATCAGTGGGAGAAATAGTGCACCATTATTGGTGTCAGAGGGAGGAATAGTGCCCATCATTAGTGTCAGTGGGGGGAATAGTGCCCCATTTTTTATGTCAGTGGGAGGAATAGTGCCCCATCATTGGTATCAGTGGGAGGAATAGTGCCCCATCATTGGTGTCAGTTGGAAGAATAGTGTCCCATCATTGGTGTCAGTGGGAGGAATAGTGCCCCATCATTGGTGTCAGTGGCAGGAATAGTGCCCCATCATTGGTGTCAGTGGGAGGAATAACGCCCCATTGTTGGTATCAGAGGGAGGAATAGTGCCCCATCATTGGTGTCAGAGGGAGGAATAGTGCCCCATCATTGGTGTCAGAGGGAGGAATAATGCCCCATCATTGGTGTCAGAGGGAGGAATAGTGCCCTATCATTGGTGTCAGAGGGAGGAATAGTGCCCCATCATTGGTGCCAGTGGCAGGAATAGTGCCCCATCATTGGTATCAGTGGGAGGAATAACGCCCTGATGTTGGTGTCAGAGGAGGAATAGTGCCCCATCATTGGTGTTAGTGGGGGGGAATAGTGCCCCATTATTGGTGTCAGTGGGAGGAATAGTGCCCCATCATTGGTGTTAGTGGGAGGAATAGTGCCCCATCATTGGTGTCAGTGAGAGAAAATAGTGCCCCGTCATTGGTGTCAGAGGGAGGAATAGTGCCCCATCATTGGTGTCAGTGGGATGAATAGTGCCCCATCATTGGTGTCAGTGGAGGAATAGTGCCCCATCATTGGTATCAGTGGCAGGAATAGTGCCCCGTTATTGGTGTCAGTGAGAGGAATAGTGTCCCATCTTTGGTATCAGTGGGAGGAATAGTGCCCCATATATTGGTGTCAGTGGAGGAATAGTGCCCCATCATTGGTGTCAGTGGGAGGAATAGTGCCCCATCATTGGTATCAGTGGGAGGAATAGTGCCCCATCATTGGTGTCAGTGGGAGGAATAGTGCCCCATCATTGGTATCAGTGGGAGGAATAGTGCCCCATCATTGTGTCAATGGGAGGAATATGCCCCATCATTGGTGTCAATGGGAGGAATAGTGCCTCTTCATTGGTGTTAGTGGAGGAATAGTGCACCATTATTGGTAGAGATGAGCGAATTATTCAAAAATTCGGTTCGGCTGATTTCGCCGAATTCGCAGAATAAATTCGCTTCGAGTCGAATATATTCGCTGCGAATTTAACTTATAAAAAGGGTTTCTAGGCTTCAGAGAGCCTTTTATATTAGTGCAGAACACTGTACCTTTAATTTTAAATGCCCTTGGAGTCTGCTGGGGAAGAGAAATAATACGTCAGTCAGTATGACATGCAGATGTAGTGCCGAGTCGATCTTAGAATCACCGCACACTTCACTCATTTGGGCAGTCAACGGGGCCAAAACCAGAGTGTGGAGCCACAGTGTGGCGGTGGAGGCAGCAGGAATGGGAGGCCATACAGCACCCTATGACAAAATGGAACCCACCAGCAGTGTGAGGAGACCTGAAAGTGGCACATGGCAGAGTGTGGTGATGAGAGACAGCAGCAATGGAGAGTCGTAACAGGGACCCATGAGACACTCTGGACCTGACAGCAGCATGAGGAGGCGGTACAGGGGCCCATGGCAGATATACTGGGGCCTGGCAGCAGCATGAGGAGGCGGTACAATGGGGCCCATGGCAGAGTGGCGGAGCGTAAGCAGCTAAAATTGAAGGCCATACAGAGGCCTATGTTAAAAAGTTCACCCCCACAGCAGCGCGTGGGGAGACGACTATCAAGAGTCCAATGGCAGATAGTGAGCGGAGCAGGAAGCAGCTTCAATTGAAGGCATACACAGCCTAGGTTTAAAAGTCCCTCACAGTTAATTCCCAATAAACGAACTCTACTCCTCCCGTGCAATCTTACTTACGAAACCTGGGCAGGTCTGGACTCCAATTTGTGGTAGAGACTGGTTTTGTTCAGCCCATGCTTGAGCGAGTAATAAACAGGTCTGTGCTGCCCTTTGGTGTCTGGCTTAATGCGCACAACACTGAACGTCCCAGCGTTTGATCAACGTATTTGCCGTTAAGTGATGCAAACCTAACCCGTCTGAAAGCCACGGTCATGATGGAGCCGGTACAGGGCGGCACATGAATCAGTATGGGACCTGGCAGCCAGTGTGAGGAGACCGGAAAGTGGCACAAAAAGACCCAATGCACCCAATATAAGTGGCCAGGGTGGCGGTGGACGGCAGCAATATTCAGAAAACATACACAAGGACTAGTTTATAAAAAAAAAAGGCGGAAGCCGTCAAGCAGCTGTAGAGCAGGGAGACGACAGAGACACATGGCCGCAGGCGAGTGGAGCTGGAGGCAGAAGCAATGGAAGGCCATACAGCACCCTATCACAAAAAGGAACCACAGCAGCCGTGTTAAGGAGTCCTGAAAGTGGGCACAATGGCGCAGCGGTGGCGTGTGGCAGGCAGCAGTAATTCGGCAAACCCATACACAGCGCCTCGGTTTAAAACTGGAACCTGCAGCGTGAGCAGACTGACAAAGAACTCGCACATGGCAGTAGGATAGGATCTGGCAGCAGTATGAGAATGCGGTACAGGGGCCCGTGGGCACAGTGTGGGTGATGGGGGCGTAGGCTATCGTCAAACTGGATGCCAGAAAGTGGCCGATGTGTTAAGGGCTTATATAACTGCTTGGAAATTTAAAGTTGTAAAGGACAGCGCGCCTATAAGGCTATACACAGCATGAATATATCATGACTTTATTCTGAGAGTGGTTTGGATAGGTTAGAAAGGCAAATATACCAAAAAAGTATTTCATGGAGCTGTCGGAGTCAGCGGACAATCAAGTACATAAATATACAATATCTATTTCATCAAGCTGTCCTTAGCCAGCGGTCCTCAAAGGCGACACATATAGCAAAGCAAATTCATAGAGCTGTTCAGAACAGCGGCCTCTAAGGCGGACCAGGCGTTATAACAAGAGCAATTCCCCGAGGTGTTCAGTAGCGGCCTGAACGGCTAGGTTATTAACTGACTTTATACTCTTCTCGCCAAACATCGGCCTTATAAATAAGATGGTCTACACAGTGACAAAAAATATAGGTCGCCTTACAGCGGCGTTATCCTACAAATTTGAAACATTATATGAACAGAAATAAGACTCCCTGCCTTCCATCTCCACAGCATACTGCCACGGTGCGTCTGGGTTCCTCCTGTCTCCTCCCTACTCACCTCCTCTATACCAGATGCTCATCTGCTCCTCCGACTCACTGTCGCTGAGTGGAAAAACCAACCATTTCACTCATATACATTCCTGAGCAACAAATGTCCTCCTCTACATCCCTCCTCTTCCATATCCTGTCCTGCCCCCACAGGGGTCATGTGTGCGTTTGAGTTCTGTGCGCCACGTCTACCGCACACCCTGTCACTAGCCATTGTAAACAGCATTTGTTCAGGACGTGCAACAGAGGAATGACGTCGTTCATCCCATAGTCCTGACCGACATCACGAATAGCAGTTGGCCTCCTCAAAGGCCTGATAGCAAGCGGCAGGTGCTCACGCATGAGCTGCGCAATTGGATGTACATCGAAAGTTTGATACACAGGTGAGTACCTTTTATCCGCTTGCTAACATCAGGAAATCGGTGATGGTCACCGAGGTCCTTTGTCGCTGCGCGTAAAGGCGGTCTACACATGTGTAGGGTTGAAGTCCACACCTCTGTTGCCAACGTCGCAGACCTCAGGCGATGCTGTTGGAATTCCGTTGTGGAGAGGCCGCTGCAATGCTCAAGGAGGGGAATATGTGCTTTGCGGTGTTATGAAATGGCTGAATTGACATGCACAGTTTACTTGGTGACATTGTTAAGGAGTGTCTTACAAGTGGGGATGGGTTGGATTTTAGGAACCGCTCTTGACAAAACCAGATTCGAACACGTGTGCCATGCATGGCGCATGGCACAACCTTCCTTGACGCAGAAGGCAGGACACCATGTGTCTATCCGTGTGGTCGGTCAACATGGTTCCGGATTTTGTCAGTTTGCGCGGGAGACAGCCATCCTGTCGAATTTCTCTGTTCCATCTAACACTCCTAGAAAGTTTCCTCCCCCTGTGTGACTTAAACGTTCGCCACAGGTCATACCAAGGTGCAGCCAACAGCGTGGACACCGTTTGGCGTCACATGCACATGTGATGATGCTCTGGTTCGGGTAATGTGGACTATGGCTACGGGTGAGGGGGGTGGCGGCTGGGTCTGAGACACGGCGGCAGAAGTCGAGTGGTAGATTTAGATGCGGACATTCATTGTGTTGGACATAGGAACGTGCAATCGTGTTGTAGGCAAAAGAGGCGTGACCTGTCCAAGTTGCCTGGTGCGCTTGTTGTCCGGCACCTACGTTCACCCAGTGGGCCGGTAAATGACATGTGTACTGTCTCCCTGACCGTAGTTACAGCTCAACTACCGTCGGCGCGGCCGTTGCACTTTGGCAGAGACCGACATGCTCAAAGACTGCACAGTCACCCATCTCTGTCTACAGGTGAATTGCAGGCGCAGTGGCTACTGCCTTTTTGGCGAAGAAATGCCGGCTTGGCATACTCTCCACCTGCGGCGCGGGCACCAAGCACATCATTTCTCGGAAAGGTGCAGATTTTCCACCAGTAGAAAGGGAGAGGGGACTGCGAGCACCGAGAAAACTTGGACAGGAGAGACGTTCAGCTTTTCGCACCGCGTCGTAAGTGCGAAGCTCGCAAAACTGTTGTCTCTTGGAAACGGGATTTCAAGAAAGACTGGCTGGACAGAATCCCGTGAAGAGGGCAGTAAACCCAGGAGAAGCAGCATCTCTGAACGAGCCGGAAGACATGCCAACGAGCGACAACCTCTCCATCAAGCAGAGGTGTTTGCGAGCCCTTGACTGGCTGATAGCAGGCGCGAATTGACGTCGTGTGACGGGAGTCAAGTAACTGAGCGGGTGATGGAGCGGACGGGCTGGGGCAGGCAAGAACTGCCCGTATCTTTATCCAGCGAGGGTTTTCCCAGGCCAACGCGAATTGGTTGACGCTGCATATGCTGGACGCAAAGAACGCTGTCAGTCCGCCAACATGGTGGCTCCCCTGGCCGACGCTCTGCATTTCTGGCCACATAGTCGACAGAAATATACCGCCTAACGTTTACCTTCGCTCGGAGCGGCTCCTTGACGAAAAATTGCACACACCACCAAAAATAAATAAGGATAAAGGTAGGAAACTTTGCCCCCCCGATACTCCTGCACTGGCTGACTTGCTACTTCCTCCCGTGCGCTACCGGCACCACTACTGGCCGTGGTGGTAGGCTGCAGTGGGAGCTGGTTGCTCTATCTCTCCGTGGCCGTATTGCTGCTCCACTGACACTAACCAACATAGCCTGTGACCCTTGCTGCCCCCCCCCCAGGTCTCTGGGCCACCCACCAGCGACTGTTTTGCTCGCTGCTCCAAAGCTGGCTACCCTCTTCTCCTGATGATGCGGGAAGGACAGTGCCCATGATGACGGACGAGGATGCAAAGTGCGATCAACCACTTCCTCTATCATCAATTAGGGTCTCCCGCCTCACTACTAAAAGCCCCCTCGGCTGCAGTCTGGGGTTCAGGAGACAGACCCTACTGTCTCTAAGACCGGCTAACCTGAGCGCCACTCTCCCTCGCCACTACTTCTTTGCCTGGCTGATGCAGAGGCGGATGTATCCCCCCGTATCCTGTACCGCCCTCTGTTAGACTCTTCCGTCACTGTTACAGTGGGGCTGAGAGGGGGGGGCTCCCACCCAACAGCATGCGAATACTTTCTGCAATTGGTAGAGGGAAACATGCTAAAAGGACAGGGGGCAGGTAGAGAGACAACGACTGATCTTTCAGTGGGCTTGCTCCCGGGCCAATGCAACTAAACGGTTGTGTCCTGACGTACCACACCGACCGTTTGGCTGTAGATGTCAGAGGTGACCTGTGAAGAGGGAAGATGACCAGTAGTCCAACCAATCGATGACGGCGGAGTTTGATCGGTGGAGACGACGACCCGCTGGATGACACCGGGAGACACTGCCTCTGGCTGCAGACTAAATAAGTGGCTGCATCGAACCCACCTTCCTCTGCTAGCCAAGTGTCAGCTCGCTCCTAAAACATTGCCTAATCCTCTGCCACTCCTCTGCATGTTGTCTGACATAAGACTCTGTTAATTTAATAAGCACCTTCCAAAAATAAAACCGGATTTAACTCTCTTTGATCGTACAATATTGGTTGTGAAAGGCTAGAAAAGTCAGTTTTATTTTGCACATTCAAGTCAAACTGCAGCACCAACTGTGTCGCATGACAGGCCACCAAAAAAAAAAAGGGTGTATTATGTCACTTTAAATTTTTCGATTCTTTGATGGGCCCTAAGTAACGATTCTGTGTCCCTGAGTAACGAATCTGTGTCCCTGAGGTAACCTATTCTGTGTCACCTGGAGTAACGATTATGCTGTCCCCTGAGTAACGATTCTCGGTGTCCCTGAGGTAACAATTTCTGTGTTCCCTGAGTAACAATTCTGTGTGTCGCCCTGAGTAACGATTATTGTTCCCCTGAGTAATCGATTATGTGTCCCTGAAGTAACGATTCTGTGTCCCTGAGTAAACGATTTCTGTGGCCTTTAAAAGTCTCTGTGGCCCCTAAAATCTCTGGTTCCCTTAATACACCACAGGTCTGTCTCTCTTGAATGACCTTGGTGGCTAAAATGAGAATTCTAAGATGGCCCGCAGATTTATAGGCTCCTACCATTACACAGTGCTTGCTGGCTGGACCTGCTGATTGGCTAATGCGATCTCACATTGTCATCAAATTGCATTAATGGGTCAGAGTCGCGCTTTGTTCTGCGCGCCTTCCCAGAGATCCCCCCCCACGCCCACCCATCTTCTCTGCACATTTCTTCCGTCGCCACACCATGTCGCCCGACATTTTTGGGAAAATGCGATTCGTGCATCGAAGTTTGCTAATCTTCGGATTCGTCGCGAATAGAATTTTTCCAATTCTTCGGAACGAATTCCACTTCGTCATGTTCGATTCGTCATCCTAATTTTGGTGTCAAGGGGGGGAATAATACCCCTCATTAGTGTCAGTGGGGGAATGTGCCCCATCATTGGTCATGGGAGGGAAAGTGCCCATCATTGGTGTCGTGGGAGGAATAGTGCCCCATCAAAGGGTCAGTGGGGGGAATGGCCCATCATTGGGGTCAGTGGGGGGAATAGTCCCCATCATTGGGGGTCAGTGGGGGGAATAGTGCCCCTCATTGGGGTCAGTGAGGGGAAAAGTCCCCTTGTTGGGGTCATTGCAGGGGAAAAAAACCCCATCATTATGTCTTGGGGGGAAAAGTGCCCCATCTTGGTGCATGGGAGGGAAAAGTGTCCCCATCTTTGGTGTCAGAAGGGGGAAAAGTGCCCCCCTTTTTTGGGGTCAGTGGGGGGAATAATGCACCCCCATTGGTGTCAGTGGGAGGGTATTTCCCCATCAGGAA